GAGGGTAATGGGCAAGGCTGAGCCACCCAGAGAGCCCAGTGGACAAGGAGACTGGTCACTCCCAGAGAGCAGAACCAGCTGAGACCTGGGGCTGACACACTCTCCAGCAGGATTTGAGCAGCGCAAGGCATCAGGGATTCTTGTGGGTCTCTTCACTGTTCCTTTGTCTAGTGGGAGCTGTCCCTCAGGTTGTTCTGCTTATACATCCTGGTAACAGAGGGCGCTGAATGGAGGGCCAGGCGCAGTACGCGGATTGGAGTTGAGGGTTCTCTTTCTTGGGAAGGTGCGAATGTTCTTCGTGTGGAGGCAAAAAGGAAGTACGTGGATATTCGGGTTACCAAAAGTAAGAATTGTGACAGAGACTCTTAGTTGCCACTTAATTCTTTCTCCCCTTCTTCTACAGAAGTAGAAACCACAATTCTTAGGTGGGAGCATGATCCAAGATTAAAGTGCACACCTTCCAGCCCCTTGTAGAGTACGTAAAGAGAAATGAGGTGCAAAACATCCAAGTTGTATCCCCCACTTCCCATTTCATCCTCTACAAGGGCTAGAATGTGGATGCGGTGATGGAACATTTTGGATCTTGCCGAAGAAAGCAATGCTTCAGAGGCAATAGAGCTGTTGGGTGGAAGGAGCCTGGGTGCCTGGCACATCAGAGCATGACAGCAGCCCTGGACCACTTGTGCTGGGCTGATAAATGGAAGAGAAACAATTTGTGTCTGCTTCTGTGTCTTACTTCAGTAGCAAAACTTGTTCTATCTAATAGAGTAAAATTGGGTAAATCTCCTAAAAGGTGGAGAAAGAAAGAAGGAAGGAAGGAAGGAAGCATGAAGGAAGGAAAAAGGAAATAGAGACAGCAAAGTAAATTGGAGGGGAGGAAATCATCAACAAGATAATTCAAGAATTTTTTTCAAAAAATGGACATATGTTTACAATGGAAAGGACCCATTGAACGCCCAGCACCATGGTGAAGATAGATTTTCACCCCAAAGCACATCACCATAAAATTATGTCTCTAGGGACACAAAAATTTTTTCTATAAACTTTCAAGAAGAAAAGAAAAAGCAAGTATCATACAAAGGATCAAAAAATCCAAATGTCAGCAAACTTCTCGCCCTCAATACTGTAAACTGAAGCAAATCCTTCACAATTTTAATGGATAATGATTCTAACCTACAATTTGGCAGCCAGCCAGAGTAGTAATCTAGTCCAAGGGTAGGACTAAGATACTTTCAGACAAGCCAGTTCTCTGAAAATATACCACCTACGACCTTTTCTCGGAAAGTAATAGGAAGATGTTCTCCATAAAGTAAGGATTAAAGTACAAAAGCACAAGGCATAGCTAGGGATCCAAAACAAGGAAGAAGCAGGGAGAGCCAAACAGTGCCAAAGGGTGACTCAAAGACCGGAGCTTTGTGGCCGACCTGCAGGACACCAGTCTGGGCTGGATGGTTCAGAAGTCTCCGGAGAGTCACTGAAGATGAAATTAATGAACTACCCAATGTGTCTGAGGAGCCTGAGAGATTTATACAAGTAGGGGAGAAGCTGGGCTTAACTGGCAACAAGTACATAGAATTCTAAACAAATAAAGACAGAAATAAATAACAATAATCATACAAGAGCTTGAAGATATGCACATGTGTGGTGGGCTTGAACTGGATGAGTGTGAGAAAATTAATAAATCTTCATATTCTAAAGTAGAAAGTCAATGAATAATGCCTAAAACAAAAATAAAATGAGAAATGCTAATATAAGTTTTTTTTTTTTTTGGAGAAACGAAGGTAAACACCAAAAGAATCAGCTGAAAGAGTTCAGAGTGGTTGTTTCTGGGGAAAAAGAAAATGAGGAGGAAGCAGTGCTATCTGACTCGAAGCATATATGATTCTGATTTTTTAAAAAACGGAAAAGATGAAAGAGGGAGGAAGGAAAGAAAGAGAAAGGAAAAAAAGGAAAGGGGGGAAATGAGAAAATGAAGAGAAATGGAAAGGACAGAGAAGAAAAAAAGTGACGTAGCAGCAGGGAGTGGAGTCTGAAGATGGTCGGAGACAAAGGAGGCACCCCAGGAGACCAGCACAAACCCTCCGGATGGACTGTAAAGCCACAGCGTGCGAGGATGCCTTGGAGGTGCGTGGGTGTGAGAAGGAACGAATCGGGGACATTTGGATGCCAGGAGGTGGGAAATTGGCATTGAGGTAGGTGAGAACAGGGCCAGCCTAAGAGGCCAACTCAGTTCTAAACAAGGGTATCATTAAATCAAAACTTGGGGGTAGTCAAATATCTTAACTTCTACATTTATATTTGGTTCTAAGTATACTCCTTGCTTATGAAGACTTCAGTTTCATAGACTGTTGTTCTAGCCTCAACGGTAACCAGTTCACGTTTTAAAAAATGGAATGAACATGGAAACATATTCAAATATATACTATTGAGAGTTACTGAAATTTCAAATGCAGGGTGAGTGAATTAGGAAGAGTCCATCTTGGCCTCATTTCTGTTCATTTCAGAGTTCCTTTAGGGGAATAAGAAAGACTTTTTTCTGAAAATGAAAGAAAAATATGTTACTGGTCAATGCATCATGATTTTAATTAATGACATACTAAATGCTCAAAAATGGGAGTGAAGAGGGGTTCCTTATTTATATTCAAAGGTAAATTACCAGAAATTCCATTCTTTAGAGGGGCATCTGTTTTGCAACAGTTCATTTTTCTTTAATAAACTTCATTATTTTTTTTAAGTGTGGAAGCTAAGATTTTATTATATTCTTCTGCTGTGGTAGAAAAGAAAATAAGCTTTGAAAAGATACACCTAAACGAGATAAGACAAAGGATTCAAGAACATTTTTTTAAATCATTATGCGTCTGTACAGATGACAGCCTGTAATTTTGGAAATTACCTGTTTCCTCTTTAGCACACTCAGCTTTCCAGCACTGGCACCTAATAAAGGGTTGTAACCACTGTGTGGAAAGCAGTAGTTCAGGGTGGGTGTGTTATACCAGCAGGGGCAGCACTGAGAGCCACCCAGGAACAAGGGGAGGACAGCCCTTGATTGGACGCCCAAGCTGTCAGTCACCACTGTGGAGAAGCAACAAGGCGCACCAGGAGAGATAAAAACACTTTTCTGTGTAGACGTGCATCCATTCATTTACTCACACTCATGGAGGCATGCACAAACTCTGCTATCTCTTGAGTGGTGACAGTGCTATCATAGAGAATTCTTGAAGAGAACTTGAATTCAGTTTTGTAATTAAATTAAATTGTAATTTCTAATTTACCATGAGTGTTTAAAGAAGAATATCAAGAATGGCTTTTGAATGTTTAAAAAAAAAACTATCCTTACAAAATATAGATAATGATACAGTTATTTGGTTTGATTTATTAGTAAAATAAATTATATTATTAGATCTCCTAATGTCAAACCATTCTGTGTTCTTGGAACAAGCCCTATTTCATTATGTTTTAAAGAGACTATATTGAAATGACTCAGTGTATACCTATTCATGAGCAAGATTCATCTTAGATATTGTTGTTGTTGATATGCTGTTTTGGCAGATTTTAGTATCAAGGTTAAACTCTCTTCATAAAATGAATTGGAAAATTCTCCATCTTATTCCATGCTCTGAAACACTTTAATAGGACAGCAGTTACCCCTATGAACTTGTGATGGTATTACAGAATCAGTCCATAAAACTGTGCAAGCACCTTGGGAGACAAAGTTTTTGTTGTGTTGTTTTAAGTTGGTGGTTTTCCATTATTTCTTGGGGTTTTTTGGGGGGGGGGGTCTAATTAGGTATTTTAAGTTCATCAATTTTTAAAGTTAATTATTTTTGTAATTTTTACTTTCCTATAGTCATTTATTTCACCCAGGGTTCTTTTTTTAACTCTCTACCATAAAGATGCTCATACTGTATTGTTAATCAGGGTTCTCTAGAGAAACAGAACTAATAGGAGATACACTTATAAAGTGATCTCTTTAAGAAATTGGCTCATGTAACAGCGAGGACTGACAAGTCATCCACAGGCAGGCAGGCAGGCTGGGTAATCTCAGTATTTGCTCTCAAGGCCTTCAGTTGACTGGATAAGGCCCACTCCCATTATCAAGGATAATTTTCTTTACTTGAAGTCAACTGACTGTAAACGTCTATCACATCTACAAAGCATCCTCACAGCAACATCTAGACTAGTGTTTGACCAAACAATGGGGCGCCACAGCCTAGTCAAGTTGACACACAAAATTAACCATCACATCATATATCATTAATTCTAAGGTATATTTCTCCTTCTGCTCTAGCCCATCTACTGAGTCATGATCTGCCTGCTTTGAATGGGACCTACAGCAAGAAAGAGCTCAGGTCATGGCTATGATACAAGCAGTCCTGCCATTTGGGCCATATGGACTGGCAGACCCTAGTGTGTTGGAGGTACTGGTGAAATTATACCATGTGGAGTCTGGGGCTACCCCTGGGAAAGTCACGATGCAGTCTCCTGAGTTCTGAAGTGAAGGCATGCCACTCACAGCAGAGATGCACAAGTCTTCAGAAAAATATCTACTGTTCTGCGGAGCCCTGGTACAAGCAGAATGCCCAACTGTGGACACCAGGTGACCATGTGACCAGATTGTCCATGATGACCTGGAGCCTTTCAGACTCACTAAGTCCAAGCAAGTAGGCCCAGCAACAACCTGTTGTAAGATTAAAGTGGTACCTGTGTGTTCCAACACGAGTAGTCCCAGAGGGCACACAAGAGCTGCCTGAGGAGGTCGCCCAGACTTCAGAGGCGCCCACCATTGTCACACCAGCATACCTGACCCTCAGTTCTTGCCTATAGCCATAGGGAGTGATTCTATCTGACTGGGGGAGGAACTTGGTCTATGGATGATTTAGCAAGGTAGTGGATGTGTGACAAAAATCAGGGGTTGTCTTTAAAAGATATTGTTGAGGAAAAACCCTCCCGATGGTCAGGGCTTTGGGCAATGCACCTGGTCATTCTTTCTGGGTGGCTAGAGAAGAGCCAGTGATGAATAAACTCATGGGCAATTGTGAATGGCCTGGTTAGTTGGTCAGGGCCCTGAACAGGAAAAGGCTGGGGGACAGAGAAGTCTGAGGTAGAGGTATATGGATATTTGGGGGTGGATGCAGATTGTAGAGGCACGTGTATCAGATGTTAATGCCCACCAGAAGGTATACACGTTGGAGGGGCAGTGAGTAGGCAAAATGATTAGACCCATGGACGTCAGCCAACCTCTGTCATGGGTTACATCTAATGGAGTGATGAGCACATGAAGACACTAGAAGAGATGGAGACTACCTGTTGGCCCAACCACCTGTACTCCCTGGGACTAATCTAGCTACTGTCACCTCTGAATTTCAAACCTGTGAGCAAGAGACCAATGCTGAGCCTCCAGTATGGCCCCATTCTTTGAAGACACCAGCTGTCTACCTGGAGGCAGGTTGACTACATCAAGTCCCTTCCACCCCGCGAGGGTCAGTGGCTAGGTCTCACAGAAATAACCGTGTATTCACAGGATGGCTTTGCTTTTTTCTGCTTGCGATGTCTCAGGCAGAGCTAGCAAAGTCTTTTCTCCACTGGCCCAAGACCCCTTCCACCGTTGCATCTGAACACCAGCCCCACTTTACAACAAAAGCAGCATGGGACTGTGCCATCACCATCGGAGCTACTTGTAACCAGAAGTTGCTGGCCTCGCAGAGCCCTGGAACAGTCTGCTGAAGGTGCAGGCAAAGGCCAGCTCAGGAGTAAAATTCCCCAGGGATAAGCTGCCGTCCTCCAGTGGGTATTAAATGCATTGAATCAGAGTCTTCTCTTTGACACCACATTCCCATTAGGAACATGTGCGTCTAGAAACCAAGGGGTAGAAACAGAAGTAATCCCACCATCACTGACTGAGTGAGCGCCTCACAGGCAATCCTGGGCAGGGCAACGGGATGTTCTGGGGACAAAATAAGCAATCGTAAGCCCAGAGACGAGAGGAACACTAGTTCCCACACTAGTGAGACCTGGACGAAGAGCAGTGACCTGCATCAGGCGTGCCATCCTCTCATCCCTTCAGAGGCAGGTGCGTGAGTAAGACTCACGTACAGCAGAGCAGAGCACGTCAGGACCTCACCTCCTAAAACAGGTGCACGTTTTATTTTACCTCAGAAGCAGAAGTTTCCCATTATCTATTGTTGGTTGGCTCTTTAGGAAATGGAGATATGAATAAAAGAGCGTTTATTTTCTCCTTTTGCCAAAATCTAGGACAAAGTTTAAAATAACTAAATAAATCCCTTGATTCTAAAGGCAAATGGATAAACATCCAAAAGAAAGCACTGCCCTTCAGATGCAAGTGGAGAAGCTCTGATAGCTCCTTTCAGCTCAGGATTGTCGGGTTGAAGTGAGGTCGGCTGAGCATGTAGAGTGTGGGAAGGAGAGAGAGACAGGAGAGGAACGGGGAGGGAAGGTGGGCACTGCTCACAGAATCGAATCACTTTAGAAAAGATCAATGATGAAGTGCAGGGGCGGGTGTCCAGAGTAACTGATGCTTTTCAGGAGTTCTGAGATAGCCGGGCCCCTTTTGGGCTGGTGACGCGAAAGGACCCTCCACAGACGTGCCCTCTGCCCCTCCCACGTGAATCCTCGCGGGGAGGAGGGGGCAGCACATTTACTCCGCCTCGTTGGGGTGCTCTGGGCACCAGTGGTTCTTCACCCTGGCTGCACATTGTGTTCACTTGGGGAATTTAAATAAATTAAGAGATAGGTAAATAATTAAAAGAACCAATTAAATCAGAATGCCCACGCATGTGCACGCTCAGGAGAGGTCCCAGGGTCCTAACCAGCAGCCAGGGCTGTTGGGATCCCTGTGGCTCGCCAGTCACCACCCCACTGCCTGGGGCTCTGCCCTCAGGGGAAGCGGGGAGGATGGGAGCAACCCAGGTGCTGACAGCGGAGCTTGAGCTGAGGATGTCCTCATCCCCCCCATCTCCTCTTCTCCGCACCGGTGAGCACTGGTCCCCTTCGCCCCGTGTCCTCAAACCTCAGCCTGCATCAGAAGGACCCGGAAAGCTGTTAAAGCACAGAGGGCTGGGCCCCACCCTGTTTTGGGAGACTTGGGGTGAATCTGCATTTCCAACAAGGTCCCAGAGGGATGCTGACACTGCTGGTCTGTGGACCACACTGTACCTTTCCTCGTGGTTCTTCTTTTCCAGATTTAGTCCACCTTTGTGACCTTCTTCTGACCTTGCCCGTGGACTCTTCAATGAAAAAACCCTATTTGCAAAGCACGTTTTCCACAGACTGCCCGGCCCAGAGCATAAAAGAAGGATTACTTTGCAGTTTTGCTGCGTCAGCCTGCTTTGAATATCCCTCAGTGCGGCGCCTGCTCTGGCGTCCACAGTGTCAGTGATGCGCCGTCAGCCTTCATCTACGCCGACCCTCGGTCACGTAACTGAACATCCTTCTCCACCTCACACACGACACCCAGGGATGACGTGCAAATAACTCCTAAACGTTTTTCTGACACGAGAAGAATTTTTTCATATTTTCCTACTAAGGGACTTATTTTATTCGTAACCATGATGAAAAATCCAGAACACAGACTATTTCCAAACAAGGTAGACTACTAAATGACCACTGATCTCTTGAATTAAATTGAATTGAAATGACTTGCTTGGAATCCGTTAGCTGACTCCCCACACACCAATGTTCCCATTGTATTTTCTTTGCTTTCCTGGGAAGAGTCTTCATTTTCACAAAATCAAGCCTCCGCCTATATTCCAAGGGGCAAGTCTGATTCTTCCAGCTTCAGTAATGCAATCAGGGCACTTCTGCCTCCGCTCTGAATTAAATAGGACTGGTTCTCGGTGATCCATTTCTCAAATTCTGTTTTCCTGCCTCTCAGGCTTTTAACTGCTTTGCAAGCTATTTCCCTCTGTGGGACTGCAGAGTCAGTCCTGGATGGCAAGTTCTGTGCTTTGAAAGGCCTGTTAACTCTTTCAGGGAGAACCCTGGCTCTCTAACACACCTAGGCTGGAGGGCGTTCGGTTGGTTGTAGGGTAGTGGTTCTCACGGAGATAATGGGCACCTCCTCTGTGCTGAGCTTGTTAGAAGACTGAGAACGTAAGCTTGCATGTCCTCCCCTAAACATCGCACGCATTTAGAATCTCGGTGATGACTCCTTGCTCTCTGGGCTAGCAGAACCTGGAGAAAGCTACGGCTCAGAGGAAGTAGGTGAGAACAGGACACCTACGTGGGTTCTCACTTTTCAAGGACTGGGCAAGATTCTATTCTCTCCAGGGAGTGGAAGGTTCATTTCATGGGCTTTGGTCAACAAAATATCCTGAATCCAAGGACCCAGAGCCACAGACCAAATAGCTGGACATCTCTCCTATAAATCAGAAGCGTCTCCCATCATTTCTGGCTGTTACTGGGAGTTGTCCAACCATCAATTCTTAATAGAGTCCAACTGAGCACAGTTAGCTGAGTGGGATGCGAGCTCTTAATTTTTTCAATGTAGATTTTATTTTATAAATTCTAAGCCACTGCATTAATAATAAAAGCATCCATATGGATAATACAAGAGTTGAAAATTTACCACAGACACAGAAAACAAACTGATGGTTACTGGGGGCAAGGAGGAGGGAAGGGATAAATTGGGATTTTGAGATTTGCAGATACAACTGTATATAAAATAGATAAAAAAAAGTTTATTCTGTATACACAGGGGACTATATTCAATATCTTGTAGTAACCTATAATGAAAAAGAATATGAAAACAAATATATGTATGTATATATGTGACTGAAACATTATACTGTATACCAGAGATTGACACATTGTACACTGACTATATTTCAATTTAAAAAAAAAGAAAGAAAGAAAATTCAGATAAGGGCCAGAAAGTAGCCTAAATCAAGTGGCCCAGCCATAAACAGCAGGACTGGTGGGGTTTGTCTAAAGGAAGCTGGTGACACTCAGCTCTGGCCAATCCCTGCCATGTGAGGATGCTGGCTTGGTATCACCGGATCCTCTGACTTTTCAAGAAAAGTAGAAAAGTGAAATTTTTATGTGAAATCTCCTGCCTTGTAAGTGTTGGCAACGAATCCAGAAATATTTAAAAGTTTGAGCAGCTCAGCAGCACCGTCCACCAGCCCATCTGGCCCCCACAGTGGCGGCCTCGCTTCTTATCCGACGCTTCCAGCAGCGTCACCATTTGGCAAAGCAGAGAGTGTCTCCCTCTTACAGAAACGTATACAGAGTTCACAACGGCTAAGGACTTGCAAAGGCCTCACAGCTAACAGGGCAGAGTCAGGACTCAGACCCAGGAGGGTCCGTTTCCGTCCGGGGCACTCTGTTTGCTCTCCCGGGCTGCTGACTTGCTGGGAGAAGCCCACGGCGGGCGTTCAGGGCGGCTGTGTCCTCTTCAGCCCACGCCTTCAAAGCCATCCGGCCCGGCCAGCAGAGGAGGGAGGACAAGCAAGAATCACTGGCGGGCACTTTTTAGGGGCAGGCTTGGAAGAGGCGAGGACTTGGTAACTTGGCAACAGAACCCAGTCGCAAGGGAACTTAGTTAACGTGGTCCAGCTGTGGGGGCGGGGGGGCAACGACAGCTTTGGAGATCTCCCTGCTCTTCTCCCACGGACGAGAACGATGTGTGTTCTCCAACATTGTCCCTGTTGCGGTTGAAAACAGATCTCCTTTGCATTGAGGCTTCAATTGTTGAAACAGTCTTAAGATTAAAACTAGAACGTGGACTGACAAATCATCTTCCTGATAAAATACCCACCTGTCCCTGGGTGTTCATTATTCCTAACACCGAGCTCTGCATGCAGTAGGGATGCAGTCATATTTACTGAAAGGGATTTAAGTGGCCCTGGAGTTGACACCAGGCTGAAGGGGCTGAGGCCAGAGGCTCCATCCTCTCTCAAGGCAACTGGCCTCCCAGCCTGGCTGGGCATCCAACCTGGAGAGATGGTAGGTGCAGGGGGTGAGTCCAGACTCCACACCCCACTGTGCTGCATGCCAGTAACCTCGGGTAAGTCGCTTTGTCTCTCCAGGTCTTCATTTCTCATTAGTAAGATGGAGATGCTATCCCATGACCTGTTTTTACCGCATTGCTGTGGAGCCACAGGACATAAACTGATCTGTCACAGTGCCTAACATATGGAAGATGCTCAATTACCAACTGCTAATCAAGGAGACGCTGGGCAAGGCACTGGGGCTACAGCAACCCAGAGCACCCCAGAGCCGGCTGCGTCACTGCGGAGATCCCAAATGACCCGACCCTTGGGTGTGCGCTGGCTCCCCACAGGCAGAGACACATTTCACACCCGGGGGGTTGTCCAAGTGAAACCAACCAGGACCCCGTGGGGCCCTCCCAAGTACAAAAGCCTCTCCTTGTCCTCCATTTCTTGTTTGTAGGAGAAAGGTTTCAGCCTCTTAGACAGACCCCGAGTTCCAAAGGGCAGATTCCTACAGTTACTAATTACAGGAATGACGGACTGCAGAAGGAAACAGTAGCACAGTGCAGGACAGGATCTGGTCCTGGTTGCTCCCAGGGGTTGTGCGTAACAGTTTGATACAGACCTCTGAGCTCTTCTGCAGGAACTAAGGCCCCCACCCAGGTGGAGAATGGTGACTTCAGGCTGAGCACAAGGGCATGGACCCCAGACTGGTTGGCACCAGAAGGCTGATGATTGACGTTCCTGGAGCACCACCCTGTTATCTCCCCACCAACAAATCAAAGGAGGGTCACACGCCCTGCAGACCCCCCCCCCCAAATTCTGCCTATAGAATCTCTTTCCCAAGGCCCATCAGGGGCATGAACTTGGGTCCAACCACAGTAGGAATCAGAGACTGCGGGGCTGAAGGCCGCCTCAGTTGGGGTTGGGGGCCTTCCTCCTCAGCGTGCTGGCCCACGGTTATGCCAGGACGTGCTGACCATCCAGTCTGTGGAGGGCAAGGTGGGCCTGTGAGTGCCTTCTGGCCTCCAAGCACCGCGGCCAGGGGCCCGAGGCCCCTCTGCTCACCCCCTGCCGTTTAATTAGCCCGCTCTCTGCGGGGACCAAGGCGTGAGGGCCGTTGGGAGGCTCTCTCCTTTCTCAGCAGAACAAAGCCCAGGCCACACAACCATTGAAAACAGCTTCTCTGCTTGGAGGGAAGAAAAGAGCAAGACCATCCCAGCTGAAAAGCCGGTGTGCCTGGCGAGGCCCGCAGGCCGCTCCCAGAACGCTGTGGGCTGCGTGCGGAGTAGTGGTAAAATGATGGCCCCGAGAGAATGTCTATCCACTATTACATATCCATGGAATCAGGTTAAATTGAATATCAAGTATAGCTTTAAGATGGAAAAAATAAAATCATTTGCAGCCAGAGAAGGGAACAGAGGAAAATGTGACCTTCATTTTAGTGAGGAGTCCAAAGCAATGCTTCTCAAACTTTAAGGAATTTAAGAACCACCTGGAGGGCTGCACTTCCCCCGGGTCTAAAGCGGGCCAAGCCCCTGCATTCTGGTGGGGCTCCCCGGGAAATCCTCGCATGGACCACTCTTTCAGAAACGCAGGCATAGGAGTCCACAGGTACTAGGCTCCCCTTTTATGTGAAATGCAGTTTGTACATGCGGTGCTGTGAACCGTGCCCCAGCCACCACAGCTGTTCTCAGACCGCAGCCTGCATCGGAATCACCTGCAGTCTTGGCTAAAACAGATCGCTGGGCCCCAGCCGGAGTGTCTGACTCAGTATATCTGCCATGCAGATCCCAAAACCTGCACGTCTGACAAAATCCCCGGTTCCCAGGTGCTGCTGCTGCTGCTGCTCTGGGGTTCATGGCTGCTCTAGCCCAGGGTTCTCCAAGTCATCACCACTGAGGTTGGCAGCTGGGTAATCCTCTGTCGTGGGCTGGTCTATGCGTTGCAGGATGTTTAGCAACATCCCTGGCTTCCACCCACCAGCAGCATCCTTCAAAACCACGGGGTGAATCTATTTCACCTGCCTTCACTAATCGAGGGCTTTTTAAGACTTGAAAGTCCTCCAAGCAGCCTGTGGTCTAAGCAATAAGCTGTTTGCCCACGCTGTTATCCAGAGCTTGGAATCAGCTGCGTCTAGTTGGAGCTGAGCTGCTTAAGACTGGAGAGAACCACTGACCTTCCAACCGGGCATGCGTGAGCGTCCACTCGGTGACCAGAAACTCCACCTGCAGGTAGTGCCAAGCGCCTCCGTTTTGAAAGTGCAGGGAGGGGCCACGGCTGAGTGACGCCTGCGCAGAACAGCAATGACGCACCTGTTTCCGATCACCTTTCTGCATCATCAGACCACCTTGCTGCCTTGTTCTTCACCCCAGAGTACCCCGAGCCCCTTGCCTCCCGGGAGGCAGAGCTGAGACTAGTTCTGCAGGCTCCTCATTTGGCTGCTTTGCAAATAAATCCTCTTTTTGCTGTAAACCTCGGGGTCTCAGCATTTTGGGCTGCTGCTCATTAAGGCCAAACGAACCTAGTTTGGTAACATGACTTGTGACAACCAAAAATGTCTCCAGACGTTGCCAATTGTTCTCGAAAGGCCAAAGAATCCGCACCACCACCACCCATTCAAGAACAGCTGGTCTCGGGAAAGCCAGAGGCCTTCCTAATGTTGGCAAGTGGGTCCTGGCAGTGAGGCTCTGTTTCTCCATCATCTCTTTTCATGCACTCCTCCTGTCTGCTCGCTTTTGACCCCTGCCTGCCCTGTGCACCCTGGGGCTGCTGTCCCCGCCTCCATGTACTCCAAGCAGGGACCTAGCTCTCAATCGTTCCCTTAAAGTTGTTTTCCCCCAGCTCCCTTCAGCACAAGAATCAGCTGATCTTGCTAAATACAGATTCTCAGGCCTCCCTCTGGGTGTTCTGAGTCGGGGGCCGCCGAGGGGCCCTGGGGGATGTGCTGAACATGTCCTGGGGGTGCCGACATCCGAGAGTCTGGGCGCTCTGCCTTAATGTTTCTCAGTCTTCAAGGTGCAATCACATCACTTGGGGGGCTGGTTAAATTCCAGGTTTTTGATTCTGTCAGTCTGGGGCGGAGCCTGGGACCCTGCACTTCTAAGCAGCTCTCAGGGCTGCTGGCACGCGCAGGCCCACAGACTGCCCCCCAAGCAGCAAGATCTGAAAAAACCAAGCTGGGCTGTTGAATACATCAGCCCTTGAGCTAATGTGGGGACAAAGGCGGGAGGAGTCGGGGGAGTGGGCA